ATATAAAATGCAAATGAAACTTGCTATGAACTCACACATTTCTCGGCGGAGGAGGAACTGATTTCGATTCGAGTTCGTGAACTTTGTCGCTGGCAGTTATCCAAACTCAGACGCACATTCCAACGGACATCGTTCGGGGACTCGTGCGACGATCCATCATCTCGGTCATAGTTGGGGATTCAGAGCTTGGACTCGGAGGAAGAGGCCGGCTCCTTGGGAACGGGAGAGTGGGGCGGGTCAGGCGGGTGGTGCAGCCAGCCTGTTGCAGCTGCGGCAGAAAAGCCGAAGAGGCATTTGAAACACAAGAAACGCATTCATTCCCCACTCGCCATTTTTCTCGCAAGCATTTTCCTCCTTTTCCCTGGTCAGTTGTGTTGTGTTCGCATGTTTTTGGCCATTTGCAGACGCAGCCTCGCGATTTGCAGTCAAGTCCATGGCCAGCGGGTAAATGTAAATCTCCCCCACTGCTGCCCCACTGCGGCCCCACTCTGCACCACCCTGCACCACCCTGCTCACGCATCTATTGGTATTTTGATTTATCAATAGGCGATGTTTTCCTCGCTGCGGCGAAAGCAAAAGTTGAGCCCGAGTTCGGACTGAGCTCTGAGTTGAGGGAAAGGCTGCCTCAAAAGGTGAACCGCAAACGCAACCACCGAGGGGCGGGGGGCGTGGCACCGGGGTAATGGGCATTGGCTAAGAAGACAGCTGCAGCCAAGTGCCAGCAAACATAAATCAAATGGAGGAAGAAATGTACAAGATAAATTTTTAAGCACACTTATTTAACACCTAACAACCTTGTTAGATGATTTTTGATGATGCCCCAGCACCACTGCACCACTGCACCACTCAGAGACAAGGTGGAGTACCGAGCCGGCAGAGAGCCGGCAGAGAGCCGCAGCGAAAATAATGGCACTGGGCAAAAATGTTATCGTAATCTAAGGAAGAGATCGTTTCTTATTAAACTTAGTTTATTCATCAAAGCTCTTATTTAAATTCAACAGTTACCTTTATCTACTTTTGATATTTTTCTAATCAAAAAGACAGAAATAAGGTGTAGTATTTGTGATGTCACCTTCATTTTATAACCAAGTGGGGTATGCAAATAATTTTTCTCTGTGTTGGAAAAACATCACAGCGTGGAGAACGCAGCGCAGAACAAGTCAGAAATCTATACCGGAAAATTAAAAATTCCTAATAACACGACAAGCGGCACAGCGGTGGTGCAATGGTGGTGCAGTGGTGGAGCAGTGGTGCTGCAGCGGGGCAACAACGGTTAGAATTGCTTTTCGGTGTTTGACGATGCACACCGACAACAAAAACTGGGGAAAAGCAACCAGAGCCGCAGAAAAGTAAACAGAAATAGATCGTTCCCACCTTTCGCTGCACCACTGCACCACTGCACCACCACGCCCCTCGCCCCTCGCGCACCACTTTCCCGGTGGTGCGGCCCCATCACATCTGCTCACATATAAATCTTGGGCTCTTCGCGCAGGCGCGCATCTCTCTCGAGAGCTTAAAAATAATTTATAAAAATTGCAATAAATATCGAGGGGCTCTGATAAGGCGTCAACATAAATCAGCTGCCACGTTGCAGAGCCGCCAAATCCAGGGAGGTGCGAACCCGTGACTAATCAAGGCAAAAGTGTGAAATCTTCACACGCCGCTGAGGATTCTCCAGGTGCGCAGAAGACTCTTCTTCATTGCCGGCCCTCAGCGAGCTGTACGTCTTTATAACTAATTCGATTGCTGGCCAATCACCTGGCGAACGAGTCCGCAGTGGGGCGAAAAGGGTTCACAGGGAGAAAAAGAGGGTTGCTATTGCACAAATTTTTATTTCCAATAACTATTACAAAGGTTTTGAGTTTCCGAAATGCTAACATAGATACTCAATAGATTGTTTTACTTCCAATTAAGACAGCTGGTTTTCTGCCAATGTAGGGGGAGCAGTCTGCCCGCAGACCGCAGACGTTCACGCTTTCTGATCGCACCAAACGCGGAATGGGACAGTGAAACCCCAGCAGCGACGCCCACATGGCAAACACTTTCTTCGACTCGATCGCACTGAATTGGCAGGGGATTGATGTCGATTGAGTCGTGGTTTAAGGGGCCTCCGAAAAGTGGTCCAGCCGAAAGCCAGGCCGAAATGAGGAGTAAGTCGGACCCGGCACTTGCGAGCACGTAGCCATTTCTCATCAGCCGCATTGGCCATTTCGCATTGGCCGCTGCGGCGGGGCAGCTAAATCATCCACATCTGCCGGAAATTGCATAAGAAATATGCAAGCAGCCGCACGCTGCGCCTCGCGAAGTGGGTTTCAGTTTGAGGGACCCCGGCTCCCCAGCCGGGATGTCTTATCAAAACCGCTCGCTGGCCGCGAACTCGGGGAATCCGAGAGCCCGAGAATCCAGTCTGCGCCACTCACTCCACTCCACTCGCTGCGGTGATAATCCGCGCCAAAGACACGACCGACATTTGGCCAACTTCTATTAGCCAGATTGCTGGTGTGACTTCGCCCAGCTGCACTGCGGGAAAACGACCTAAAGAGTGAGTCGCTCAAGTGGCCCTCCTTCATAACTCCCAATCATTTTCCCTCAGTGCAGAAGTGTTAATCAAACTGCAACCACGAACATCCGCATGGCTGCCAGAGAACGTTCTGTGGCAGCAATCATCTTCATCCTTTTGTTGTTAACTGCTTGCGTTTGGTTGGCCCAAACCCCGCAGCCCTCCGCCTTTCACTTATCTCTATCTCCGCCGCTCCGCCGCTCCGTCGTTGCTCGTTTTGGTTTTGTACCTTAAATAAGGTAATTGAATGAAATTACTTTTGACAGCTTATTTGCATACATCAACAGCAGCCGAAAGCAGAAGCCGGGCCTTCCGAGCCGGACTCCCGGCCGGAGTTGGAGGCCTTGTTAGGCCATAATTGGTCATTGAATGCGGCCCCTCCGCCACCCCCTTGGGCATCCCCACCTGCCGGGAGTGTGAGAAATGCGTGCTGACAAAGATGAATAACTCTCGACTCTTCGCTCCCATGAAGGAGAAGGCGAGTTGGGCAGGCGAACTTGAACTTTTGGTTTTATTTTTAGGCATTTCTGTATTTTCGGCGCTGCAAGATGTCACTTGCCTTTGGCTTCGGGGCTTCTCCGTCTCGATTTGATTTGCCTTTCACTGCTGCCTGTCCCTGCTGTTGACACAGCCGCCGCAGCTGCCTCTGTTGGCCATTCAACTTATCAGGGCTAAGATCACACTTGAAACAAAACAGAGTCAGAGGTTGTCCTCAAACCTGAGAGGGTTAGCGTTTCAATATTTTCCGAGCAAAAAGTAATTTCAACAAGAGAGGAGGCCTCGGCAAGTTTACATAGAAACAAACAGAAGGACAGATTGACAGACGTATTTCGATTCAGATCGTGATGCTAATCAAGAATATAGTATATATGTTATGGGGTCTGATGTGCCTCCTTCACTGCGTTGCAAACTTCTTACTGAAACTACAATACCCTCTGCAAGGGTATAAAAATGAAATGTACTCATTGAGAATAATGTGTTTTCTTCAAGTGCATATTCTGCCTGCTTATTTTAAAGCCCACGATCCCTGAATCCCCTTCGATTCGTGTGGGCGTGCATTTATTTAGCTCTGGACTCTGCTGCCTCCTCTTTTGGGTCGAATACAGTTGCACACAGAACTTCCATGTCGTTGACAGATAAAATTGCCAATCTCTGGGTGACGACGAATCCCATCGCAGTCCCAGTTGTGGGCCCCTTCCATTTGGCGACAATTTCGCCGGGTTAAACGGGTTTAAACTGCTGCCCAACTAAGCTTAATGAAAGTCTTTAGTCGCAGCAGCAATCTAAGCAGATCTCCGCCAGGTTTCCTTTCCGTCCGAGTCCAACTCCCAGTCGCAGTCGCAGACTTACAAAAAGTGTAATTAGCGCTGAAATTCAACGAGCGGAGCCCAGCAACTGGGTGCTGGATCCCTGGACACGTTTCGCTTTTAATGCATATCAGTCTCGACTCGAAGCTGACGGTCTGCAGAAGGGCTGTAGGTACACAAAACAAAAAAGGGACCTCCTTTAGCTTTTGATTTCCAGCTACTCAATTAAAGCATTGGTTTTTAAGTGGATAAGATCTGAAGAATACTATTTAAAACATAACATTTCAAACTATATTCCGAGCCCTCACTTTTTAAACTGCTTCAACTGATCTTCGCATGATTTGGCATAGTCTTCAAACTCCTTGTTCTCGCAGTGCACTTTGCCTTCCCAGCTTTTCTTCGTTCGTTTGTTTGGGGAATGGGAAACCGAACCGATCTCCGCTGGCCACCTCCGCCTCCTATTTAAAGTGAAATAATGACAGTTTTAATTGCTGATTTCTGGCTTGTTCGTTGGCGTCAAAATCCGATCGAAGCCTGCCCCCGCTGGCCGGCTATTTATAAGTCAACTGCCGGTGTCTTCGGGCCTAAACGAGTACGTACTCCTTGTTCCTTTCCCGGCTCACAGACAGCCAACAGAATGCAAATGTCGATTACGCAAAATGCCAACTAATTGGCAGCCATTAAGCGGGGTCATCGCTCCCGATTCCCGCGGTCCGCGGTCCGCAACCTTTCCTTTCCCGCCGGTGATTCACCTGGGCCCCAGCCTCCGTGGCTCAAACTTAAGTTGACACTCGCCTGATACGACGCCTCGGGGGCGGAGGGCCCGGCTCGATCCCGAGCATAACGAATTGCCAAATTAAGCCCTGAACAGCCGCCGCAGATAAGCCCCGGAACGGGAGGCCCAAAGCCACCGGCAGCAGCTGCCTGTAAATCAAATTAAAATTTTGACAACTTCATTTGTACCTGTTGCAAAGTGCTGGCCACAACGAGAGCTATGCTCGCAGCTCCAAATTGTGAAGAAGTTTGGAGGCACTCCGAGATACAAATATTTTATTTTACGTTTAACTCAAATATCTTTAACGTAGTTTAAATCCCGTTGCTAACTGCTCTTCTTTTTTTGTGTTTTCCTTCAGGTTTCCGCCAGCGATCCGGACTGCGGGGTAAACGCCATGGTGAACTACACTTTGGGCGAGGGCTTCAAGCACCTCACGGAGTTCGAGGTGCGCTCCGCCTCCGGGGAGATTTGCATAGCCGGGGAGCTGGACTTCGAGCGGAGGAGCAGCTACGAGTTCCCCGTCCTAGCCACCGACCGCGGAGGCCTGAGCACCACGGCCATGATCAAGATGCAGCTGACGGACGTGAACGACAACCGGCCGGTGTTCTATCCCCGGGAGTACAACGTCTCGCTGAGGGAGTCCTCGAGCGGCCCCTCGCAGGCCTCCTCGAGCAACCCGATCGTGGCGGTGGTGGCCACCGATCCGGACTCGGGCTCCTTCGGCCAGGTCTCCTACAGGATCGTGGCCGGCAACGAGGCGGGCATCTTCCGGATCGACCGCTCCTCCGGCGAGATCTTCGTGGCCCGGCCGGACATGCTCTCCGTGCGCACCCAACCCATGCACATGCTGAACATCTCGGCGACCGACGGCGGTAACCTGAGGAGCGGCGCGGATGCGGTGGTCTTCCTCAGCATCATCGACGCCATGCAGCGGCCCCCGATCTTCGAGAAGCCCCGGTACAACTACTACGTGAAGGAGGACATTCCGAGGGGCACGGTCGTGGGCTCGGTGATTGCCACGAGTGGAGATACCGGTAAGTAATATCGCCCCATCCTTGGAGCCCCTTAGTTTCGGGTAGCGTGTTCATTGGTTCAGTGAGCTGGAAACCAAAATATAAGAGACAGCTAACGGACGAGGTTGAGATCGAAAGGGGAAGGGGACAGGACTAAGAACACATTTTTATTTACTAACACATAAAAAGTAGAAAACGGACCAGCAAGGGTACTCTCGTGTATATTTCAAAAACGAACTGATAAAACTACTTCGATGGCTCGAATAAGTTGTGGGCTTTTAAGTCTCTTGCTGTATAACTGCCTAATAAAGTATACATCATCACCATTCATCACTGAAAGTCGGCAAAAAGAGGCATTCCATTCAAAAGCAGCCCCAGTCTTTTGGGTTATTTCTTGGCAAGGCAAAAAGGCCAAACAACAGAACACTTCAAACGCAAATTTCGGCAGAAATCTGCACCCATCACCGGGGTCCTCGTCATCGAGGCAAGCTGAACTCTGGGCACGATACAAGGGCCCGTTTGCAGTTCCAGTTTCAGAGCTCCTAACCCAGACTTCAGTTGGAATCCCAGACGGTCGGCGATCGTCGCCGGCTATGCAAAATGATTCTGCGCTTTAATTTGCTGCTTTCGCTGTGCACTTCCTTTCATGCCCCATGCTTTATATTCGAACACGGTGCCCCATCCACTGCTGCCTCCTCATGTGTCAATCGCTGACGAGAGCTCCTTCCCCGCTCTCCCCGCTCGCCCCACTCGCCCCGCTCCTTCCACTCGGTTCTATTGTTCCTGCAACTCATTGTCGAGGCCTTTGAATGGCTTTTAATGAGCAGCGCGGCTCCTAATTTCGCGTTCGGAGTTCCTTCAACTCCGCTGTCCCGGGGAGAAGATGAGGTAGAAATAATTGCAAGCTGAATTCCTTTCAAGATTCGGAAAATAAAAGCAGAAAACAACTTTGTTGAGAAAATGGGTATAACATATTTTCTTTCGTAACATTATTAATGTTTGATTCCTGATTTGTTCCTATTTTACAGCCCATCGAAGCCCCGTGAGGTACTCGATCTACTCCGGCGATCCCGATGGCTACTTCAGCATAGAGGCCAGCTCTGGGAACATTAGAATCGCCAAGCCCCTGGATCACGAGGCCAAGTCCCAGGTGCTGCTGAACATCCAGGCCACCTTGGGCGAACCCCCTGTTTACGGACACACTCAGGTCAACATTGAGGTGGAGGATGTGAATGACAACGCCCCGGAGTTCGAGGCCAGCATGGTCAGGATCTCGGTGCCGGAGAACGCGGAGCTGGGAGCTCCACTCTACGCTGCCCATGCCCACGACAAGGATTCGGGGAGCAGTGGCCAAGTCACCTACAGCCTGGCCAGGGACTCGGGCAAGAGGCTCTTCGCGATCGATGCCAGATCCGGCCACCTGGTCCTATCCCAGCACCTGGACTACGAGGCCTCGCAACGCCACTCCCTGGTCGTGACCGCCACGGACGGAGGAGTCCCGAGCCTCTCAACGAACCTCACCATCTTGGTGGACGTCCAGGACGTGAACGACAACCCGCCAGTGTTCGAGAGGGAGGAGTACTCCGTAAACGTTTCCGAATCCCGAGCGATCAACGCGCAGGTAATTAGTGCAGAAATAAGTTCACTTAAAGCGCATCAACTTTGAGAAGAGGAATATTATGCCTGGTAAAGCCTTCCAGAAAGCTGCTTCTCTTTAATTTACCACCGCACTTCGGTAAAATGTTCTCTTAGCAGGAAGTGCCTATGAAAAGTTTCCCATTACAGCGGCTATTCCAAATAGAGTTAAGCATTGCCCCAGTACTTCTCCTGCGGCTCAGGGCTCTTTCCATTACTTACAGCATCTGCTGCTGCTCCTGCTCCTGCTGCTGCTGCTGCTGCTGAGGGTGTTTTATTGAGAAAGAAATCTGTGTAATGCAAACTAAACGGGCCACATAAATTTGATTAACAGCCTCTAAAAGTCACGCTTTTGTCAGGCGGCCGTCATATCGGGCTGGAAATATCTCAACACCCAGGAGGAGCTCCTACCGAACGGTGCTCCGCTCAAGAGGAGCCTTCGGCCCAAGAGCCAGCCGTCCCTTGCTCCCTCCAGCCCCCTCGGCCAGCGCCTGAACTAGTTTTCATCATAAAATCACTTCATATCTCTGGCATCGAAACGAGTTCTCCAGGGGCTCGCCAGTTGCCAGTTGCCAGATACACAGACACGCCGCCTGGCTGCTCGCTCCCGAGTGATTGATGCGTTCCCCTCGGTATTCCGCACTCCAGCTTCTGATTCTGACTCTGATTCCGCTCTCCATTGCAGATTATTCAGGTTAATGCCAGCGACCTGGACACCGGCAACAACGCCAGGATCACCTACAGGATCGTGGACGCCGGAGTGGACAACGTCACGAACTCCCTCAGCAGCTCCGACGTGGCGCAGCACTTCGGGATCTTTCCCAACTCCGGCTGGATATACCTGCGCGCTCCGCTGGACCGGGAGACGAGGGACCGCTACCAGCTGACGGTTTTGGCCACGGACAACGGCACGCCCGCCGCCCACGCCAGGACCAGGGTCACGGTCCGAGTGCTCGACGCCAACGACAACGACCCCAAGTTCCAGAAGGCCCAGTACGAGTTCCGCATCGAGGAGAACCTCAGGCGGGGATCCGTCGTGGGAGTGGTGGCCGCCGGGGATCTGGACCTCGGCGAGAACGCGGCCATAAGATACAGCCTGCTGCCGGCCAACTCGAGCTTCCAGGTGCATCCCGTCACAGGTGAGTCGGGCTTACTTGTGGCCATAAATTAGGCCCGCTTTCTAACAGCGAACAACTCACTCAGCGCGGCTCCGGTGGCGGTGGCAACTGTCAAGCCACCAGCCATGACCCACGGTCATTCATTACGGCTCCTCACTGCACTCGGGCACTGAGGAGATCCAGCTTTTATCGCTGCACAGGGAGAAAATCCGAGGACTGAGATCCAGGCTAAGATCATCTTTCGTTTCCACACAGAAACTGTACTCCACGTACAAAGGAGCTTGAAGAGAAGGAAGTTGTGTGGGACTCCCAATAGATTACAAATCTGTCTTCTTCGGCACAAGCTATCTCCTTTTTCTCCCTGTGCACCTCGGGTGCATCGCCTCTCCACTGGCCCATAGATCAAGCGCATGGCAAACCTGTTCTGCCGAGCGATAAAATGCGATCGCCAAGATCTCGACTGGGCCTCGAACGCGGCCGATGCCGATGCCTGACCATTAGTGTTCGGGCAACAACAGTTTTAACGCTGTCAGCTCATCCGTCAATGGAATATCATTGGCCCGACGTCCAGCCACTGTCCGTGTCCGTGTCCGAGTGCATTGCATCGCATTGCATATCGTCCATCCATGTGCGTGTCCGCTGGAGGCTGGAGGCTGTCGAGGGGACACCTCTCCGTCTCGCCTCATTTAAATTAAATATGGAAATCTCGTGCAGCTAATCCTGGCGAACGGGTTCCGCTGCGCTCGCATGGCATGGATTTCTTTCGGGGGCATTAATCATATGCGACCCAGTTAGGCTGCCACAATGCACCCACTCCCCTTTTCCGGCCACTGAGTCCTCCATGTGGAGTAGTTGGCGAAACAATAGCGCTGGCAAACCAGTTCTGAAATATCTGTAAGCTTTACTGCAACCATTTCTGGCAAATAAAATATCGGCAGGCGATTAATGAAGTAATTATGTCCCTCTTTCCTCCTCCAGGCGAAATCACCACCCGTGAGCCGCTCGACCGGGAGCTCCGCGAACTGTACGACCTCGTGGTGGAGGCCCGCGACCAGGGAACCCCGGTGAGGAGCGCCCGCGCTCCCGTCCGCGTCCTGGTGACCGACGTCAACGACAACGCGCCCGAGATCGCGGACCCGCAGGAGGACGTGGTCAGCGTGCGGGAGGAGCAGCCGCCGGGCACCGAGGTGGTGCGGATCCGGGCCATCGACCGGGACCACGGGCAGAACGCCTCCATCACCTACTCGATCGTGAAGGGGCGCGACTCCGACGGACACGGCCTGTTCAGCATCGACCCGAGCAGCGGGCTCATCCGGACGCGGGTGGTCTTGGACCACGAGGAGCGGAGCATCTACCGCCTGGGCGTGGCCGCCTCCGACGGCGGCAGTCCGCCCAGGGAGACGGTGCGGATGCTGCGCGTCGAGGTCCTGGACCTGAACGACAACCGGCCGACGTTCACCAGTTCCAGCCTGGTTTTCAGGGTGAGTTCGCCATCACTTTGTGCGGGGGTCACTTCGGATGGAATGGAGCGAGACGATGGGACGGAGGGGCCACTTGGAGGAGTGGGAGAAGCAGCGAGCGCTCGGTTTCCTGGAAAACTTTTGTCTATTTGACGCTTCTAGTTTTACACGACCATTTCCCTGCGGTCGTGAGCAGCGCGTTTGTCGCCTTTTCCAGTTTGTGGCCTTTGCCAAGTGCCTTTGCCAAATGCCTTTGCCTTTGCTTTTGGCTTTGCCTTTGCCTCGCCGCCTTTGTTGCGGCGGATGATTTGTTGCCGCAGCTCCGCCTCACGTGACAATGGCCGAGAACACGACTCTGCCCGAGAGTCCCTTCCTGGTCGCCCCGCCTCCTCCTCCTCCGCTGGAGGAGACTCCACGTTTGAAGAGCTCGGAAGCAGATGTCAAGATGCCGCGGACGTGGGAAGTGTCGCGATTTGCATTCGAGCCTGAGAGCCAACTAGCACTTGGCCCAATGGTGGAGTTACAACAAGGGATTGGCATTGGAGGAGAAATAGTATAAACAATGTTTTAATTTCAAAAGCACTCCCCTGTTTCTCGCTGTGTACTGCCCCTCTGTCCTCCTCCATTGTCGGCGTTTTCATTGCGCACGCGTAATTGTCACTATGCTCTGTGACAAGTCGCCTCCTCCTCCTCCTGCTCCTTCTCCTCCTGCGGAAAGGCGCAGATCTTGGCCAGGCCTATTAAGTGCGATTCGAGACGTCAGTTGGGAGATCTCGGGAGGAGAATGAAGTGGAGGAGCCGCCTCGTGCCCCGAGGGACTCGCCTGCTTAGATTTCGGCGTGCTGCTCCTCGCTTCTCCCTCCTCTCGCCTGGGAACCCTTTAACATTTTTATCACGTTCGATTCGCACATGTTTTGCATACCCTCCACTCCCAAGTACCCAACAGCCCAACTGCCCAGCTCTCCAGCTCCCTACATCCCTCGATCCTCAACCACTGATGGCTGCGACGCTTTGACATGCATTTAATTGCCTCTCGGGGAGCAAGGCAGTCTGTCAACGAGCGGGAGGGCATCTCCGCCAGAACGGAGCGGGAGGAGGAGGATGCCCGGGTCGGGACCTCGCGCGTCCCTTAAATCCGCCTCGGCCACAATTAAAATTGACACATTTCGTTGCGTTTCGGTCGGCCTTTTGGCTTTCGCTTTGATTCCGCGCCGCATTCTCGTTCTGGCCTTTGTTCTTTTGCGTTGCGTTGGCGTTCGGCTAACAGAGATGCACTCCTCGGCGGAGTTTAGGCCGACCGCCGATGCCAATTACTTAGCGACGGATTGCCACAAATAAATCCGATGTAATTAAGCAATTCCCCCTCCGAAGCCCCCTTCTTGCGCCCCCGGGGCCTTATTTCCCCCTCCCCTCTCCGCCCCTTGTATATCCTGCCATAAAAGTGCACAACAAATCATGCGCCATTTTTGTGGCCGGGCTCTGTGCATAATTTGGCCAAAACCGAAATGAACAAACTGCAGCCTCCAGTAGTCGTTAGTTAGCCTGCACTCGGGAAAATAAAGGGGGAGACTTTTAAGTATTATATTATATTTGTTTTAAAAAAATGTTTATAAAGATCTTCCTTATTGAATTCTAACCTTATTCTTACTTCAAAGTAGGTGAACAGTTTAAAAAGAAGATTAGAAATATATGTTTCTCTGAGTGCATCCCCTCCCCGCCGCCCTTTTAAGACGGCCAACTGCGTAATCTTGGCGGGGCATAAATCTCGTGACTGTCATTTTTGTGTCTCCATTTTGGCGACCCAAACAATATTTGCAATGTTTTTATTTTATGAAAAAAGATACCCGCTGCAGAGCGAAGAACCTTTCTTGTTTCGTACCGTTCCTCCTTTTTGTTTCTCGCTGCTCGCAGGGACCTCTTGGAACGGTTTTTGCGGTTTTGCATATTAAATTCTTGTGCGGGGTTTCTTCTGTCTTCCCAAATTCTTCCTCTCCCCCTCCACCCGATGCTTATATGGCTCACAACATTTTTTTGCAGTGATTTTCGGGGCCGCCAACTTGGTCGGAATGCATAATTTCTTTTTAATGCCATTGGTCGGGGACCTGGGACCCGGGACCCGGGACTCGGGACTTGGGACCCGAGACTGGACAGGCATCCCCCTCCAGATTCTGGTTCCCCACTTTACCCCTCTTCGCTGGGTGGGGAAATGAAATTTTTAAATGTTTGCTGCCTTCGTAATCTTGAAGTATGAATTATTGCTTTAAGATTGGATTTTCAACACTGTTGTTGAGATTAAGATACGCGCCGAGGAACATCCAGCTCCAAGTAGAGCGGCCAGCCGTCTGCATCCTCTTCTCTTCTCTCCCGCTGCCACTCCCCCTCCACCATCCACTCCCCTCTCCCCGCCCCTCTTAATAAGCCTCGAAATAATCTATAATTGGTATTTGCGCAGGTACGCGAGGACGCAGTCGTGGGCCATGTGGTCGGCTCCATCAGCCCCACCGAGCGTCCGGCGGAAGTGGTGCGCAACAGCGTGGAGGAGTCCTCCGAGGAGCTGCGCGTCACCTACTCGCTGAACCCCCTCACCAAGGACCTCATCGAGGCGGCCTTCGACATCGACCGCCACTCGGGGAACCTCGTCGTGGCGCGCCTGCTGGACAGGGAGGTGCAGTCCGAGTTCCGGCTGGAGATCCGGGCCCTGGACACCACGGCCAGCAACAATCCGCAGAGCAGCGCCATCACGGTGAAGATCGAGGTGGCCGACGTCAACGACAACGCCCCCCAATGGCCGCAGGATCCCATCGATCTGCAGGTAATTAAACTGGCATTTGAGTTACAGCTTTGGAAACCAAAAAGAATCACCTCATTATTAAGTCAACGAAACCGCTGAACAGAAAGTTGCCACTCACAGTAGAGATTGCCTTTAACGACTCCTATCACTGGTCGTAAATTCAATACCGCAGGCACTAATGGCCGAATTCGATCGCTCTCTGCCTTTCTTTCCCAGGTGAGCGAAGCCACGCCCCTCGGCTCGATAATCCACAACTTCACGGCCACGGATGCGGACACGGGAACCAACGGGGAGCTGCAGTACCGCCTGCTGCGCTACTTTCCTCAGGTCAACGAGAGCCTCGAGCAGGCGGAGCCGCTCTTCGGGCTGGATTCCTTGACGGGATCCCTCTCCCTGCAGGCTCCCCTGGACTTCGAGGCCGTGCAGGAGTACCTGCTCGTGGTGCAGGCCTTGGACCAGTCCTCGAATGTCACGGAACGACTGCAGACCTCGGTGACCGTGCGACTCCGGGTTCTGGACGCCAACGACAACGCCCCGCAGTTCGTCTCCCCCAACTCGAGTGGTGGCAAGGCGGCCTCGCTCCTTATCAGCGATGCCACCAGGATCGGCGAGGTTGTGGCCCACATCGTGGCCGTGGACGCGGACTCCGGCGAAAACGGGGAGCTCACCTACGAGATCACGGGAGGCAACGGCGAGGGCCGCTTCAGGATCAACCCGCAAACGGGAGTGATCGAGCTGGTGAAGTCCTTGCCTCCTGCCGCCGAGGACGTGGAGAAAAGCGGCCGCTTCAGCCTCATCATCAGCGCCAAGGACCACGGACAGCCGGAGCCCAAGAGGAGCTCCCTGAACCTGCAACTGGTCGTCCAGGGCAGCCACAACAACCCACCTCGATTTCTGCAGGCGGTCTACCGAGCCACGATTCTGGAGAACGTTCCCAGTGGAAGCTTCGTCCTGCAGGTCACGGCGAAGTCCCTCCACGGCGGCGAAAATGGTGAGGGTTACTAAGATTTATATCAACCATGCTATAAACTTGTTTAATTACTTGCTTTTCCCTCGAAAATACAACAATCTCCTACATTGCAAACTCTTCTTTTCCCCACTTTTTCGCTTAGCCAATCTGAGCTACGAAATTCCCGCCAGCGTGGCCAACGACCTCTTCCACGTGGACTGGCAGAGGGGAATCATTACCACCCGCGGTCAGTTCGATCGGGAGTCCCAGGCGCACTATGTCCTGCCCGTCTACGTGAGAGACGCCAACCGCCTGGCCACTTCGTCCTCGTCCGCGGTGAGGAAGCAGCGCTCCTCGGAGAGCAACGGAGAGCCTGCCAATGGGCAGCACTTCGATGTGGCCACGGTTCACATTTCGATCGGGGATGTCAACGACAACTCCCCGGAGTTCCGACCCGGATCCTGCTACGGTCTGTCCGTTCCGGAGAACAGCGAGGCGGGAGTCATCCACACCGTGGTGGCCAGCGACCTGGACGAAGGTCCAAACGCGGATCTCATTTACAGCATTGCAGGTAAGATAAACTCACCCGTTTTGCTAACCACTATTCAGTTGTAATATCAAGAAACTTTAATGAAGAACCTTATTATTATATACTAAATATAATATATAATATTATATATTAATATAAATATATTTATTTTATATAATATTATATCCAATTATTCCCCTGCTTATGTATTTTTTTTTTTTTTTCCTACCCATTTATAGCCGGCAACGTGGGCAACAAGTTCTCCATCGACGCCCGGTCCGGGGAGCTGAGTGCGCGACCGCTGGACAGGGAGCAGCAGCACCTGTACGTCCTGCAGATCCAGGCCTCCGACCGGGGGCAGCCCAAGAGTCGCCAGGGCCACTGCAACGTGACCGTCCTGGTGGAGGACCAGAACGACAACGCGCCGCGCTTCAAGCTGAGCAAGTACGTCGCCAGCGTGCAGGAGGACGCCCCACTCGGGAGCAGCGTGGTGCAGGTCGGTGCAACCGATGCGGATCTGGGCGTGAACGCCAGACTCGTCTACTCCCTCGCTAACGAGACCCAATGGCAGTTCGCTATCGACAGCCAGAGCGGACTAATCACCACCGTCGGGTGAGTCTCAATCAATTTGCTTGGGGGATACCTGGGGGATCTCTGCATCTGGGCATCTGTGGGTCAATGCTTCGCCAGATCTTATCTGAAAGCCTGATCTCAGGCAAGGACGCGACAGAGACCGCCGCCATAATTTCCCCTGCTAATGCGGCATGGAAAACGAGGTGTCCCCGTATCGCGGCATCCTACGCATCCAGCGACAATGTTGCGAATCCGTCTCCTGTCATCGTGGCTCTTGGCCACACCCTGCCCCGCTCCTCCCACAGACTATCCTATAAATAGCTTGATGTGGAGATCCGCGTGGATCCTCCACGAGTGTGTGTGCCTCTTTTCATTGGGAGAAATAGGTGGTCCCAGCACAGGAAGAATACTTGTTGAGACTTAAGTTCTTCTTAAAAGAAGTTATATTAACTCCCAAGAAACATCTTATTTATTTTTATTTTTTACCTAAAGCACCATATTACACTTAGAACTTTAAATGTTGGCGATCTTTTCTGAAGTAGGCCTCCCGACCTTCGGGCCCCCTTGGTGCAAATTTATGCTCATTGAGGATCAATAATGACAACAATTGCTTGTTCCGTCTGACATTCCCGGCTGAGTTCCGGCAGAGGAGGATCGGGAGGAGGAGTGGGAAGCCAGAGGGGGCTGGGGAAACAGAGGATCAGGGGGACAGAGGGCTGTTCCCGGGCAGGGGCACTTGAAATGACAGTAGCGTCAGTGTTGCCATTTATACAAACGCGATCCGCTGTCATGTACCAATTTTTATCTTTCGCTGATTGTCGGCAAACAATAAAAACGAAATCCCCGCCACCGCCGAAAAGAGCAAAAAAGAACGAGAACGAGAGACTGGAGACTGGAGTCGAGAATACAGATCGGGCTCCACATGGAGAGCTGGGGGACTGGGAGACTGGGGGACTGGGGGACACGGAGACTTGGGGAGGTAATGGCACACAGAGCAGAATTGTAGAGCAGACAGTCGGACGGACCGAGGGACAATTCGTGACGTTGTTGTTAGTCTTGGACTTGGACTTGCACTTGGACTTAAACTCAAACTCGGATTGCAGTCGGCACTGGGAGCTAGGAGTCGGGCTTGGATTCGCTCTTGGACTCGAACTCAAAAACTGGCCTCCGCGGACTGGCAACAGAGGAACAGAACAGGGAAAAAGACAAAAATGCGCCTGCCGCTTGTCCAGCCGATGTTGCTAGTTTTGATTTTTTTCTGGCCTTTGCTGACTGACTGGCGATGGACAAGCCAGTGGAGTCGAGAGCTTAGGGCTAACCGCAGCACTGCGAGAAATTCGCAGAGAGCTGAAAAGATTGAAATAATTTTATTTTGGTAGGAAAAGTGGAACAAAGGCTACCCCTAAACTTAAAAGGTATTTCAGAAAGTTTATATCACAATGCACCATTTGGTAATTTATCACTAAGATAAATCTCGGATCTACTTGAGCAGAGTTTTCCTCAGTGGGAGATCTGCCTAGGCCCAGTTCCCGACTTGGATTGCCTGTCCCTCATTCCGAACCCCTTCCTACTTCCCTTCTACCCAAAACACAAGCTCCAAGCTGCGCATGATGATCAACAACAACAAGTCCGACTGATGACTGACCCTTGAAAACATTTCTGCTGTTGTTTCGCTGTTGTTTCGACCAGAGAGGAGAGGAGGAGGAGGTCGGCGAGGAGGAGGGGGAGGGGGAGCACTGGACAAGACTACTCGCCTGGCTTCACTTCAGTTTGACTGATTCAATTCATAAAATGGCCCTCTGCCGGGATGAGCTTGTAATTTGCTAAATTCGTTTTATTGGCCAACATGCAAGAGCGGGATCGAGTGGAATGGCGGCGAATGGCCCTCGACTGCAACTGCAACCGCAACTGCAACTGCGAAGGATTGTAATCATTTAGGTTTATTATTTGTGGCAGCAAACATGTTCCAGGGAAGCCGAGAGCCGAGAGCCGCGTGATAGCGATGGGCAGGCAATCCGACTGCCGGGATTAGTTTCTGGCCGAGGAAACTAAACTTGAGCTCCCAGCTCAAGTCGGCGAATGCTAATGGGAGTGTGCATCTCCAGTGGGAAGACCACAAACAAAATGACTTAATTACTACTTAAATCCGCAACCGGGTGCACTGGCCAAAAGGCGAGCTAGACTCAGTCAGGGTACAGGGTATTGGGATAATGTGATTAAGCAGAAGTTTCCCGTGTGCAATCAATAGCGGTGAGAACACCAAGTTTCTTCCAGTGCAGAGGGCACACAGCTTGTCAGATCTCCTTCCTCTCTTCCTGCCTGATCCATTGCGAATCAGTTCGTGTGGCTAATTGTCGGCGGGATTACCATTATGTATATTGTATGCCGAGCGGGGCTCCCATACCTAAGATACCTAATTAGTGTCGCAAGCGGCGCCCATCGTCGACTGATCGTGTTCGGGCCATTAATTGAATCGTTTCCCCCTTTTCCCCTTTCCCCAGAAAACTGGATCGCGAGCTGCAGGCGAGCTACAGCTTCATGGTTTTGGCCACGGACGGAGGGCGCTATGAGGTGCGATCGGCCTCGGTTCCGGTGACGATCAACGTGCTGGACGTGAACGACAACCGGCCCGTCTTCGAGCGGTACCCCTACACCGGGCAGGTCCCGGCCCTCATACAGCCGGGGCAGACCCTGCTGAAAGTGCAGGCCCACGACGCCGACCTGGGAGCCAACGGGGAGGTTGTGTACTCCCTCAAGGCGGAGAACTCCGCGGTGAGCGGCAAGTTCCGGATAAACCCCAGCACGGGGGCCCTCAGCGCCTCGCAGAGCCTGGCCAGCGAGTCCGGGAAGCTGCTGCAGCTGGAGGTGGTGGCCAGGGACAAGGGCAGCCCCACGCAGTCCAGCCTGGGCCTCATCGAGCTCCTGGTGGGAGAAGCGGCCCCCGGGCTGCCCGTGCTCCGCTTCCAGAACGAGACCTACCGGGTAAAGCTGAAGGAGAACTCCCCGTCGGGCACGAAGCTCCTCCAGGTGGTGGCCCTCCGGAGCGACGGCCGCCGGCAGAAGGTGCAGTTCTCCTTCGGCGCCGGCAACGAGGACGGGATCCTCTCCTTGGACTCCCTCTCGGGGGACGTGCGGGTGAACAAGCCGCACCTGCTCGACTTCGACCGCTTCGCCACGCCCTCGATGTCCGCCCTGAATCGCGGCAGGTCGCTGCACTACGAGATGGAAGCGGAGGAGCCCCCGGAGGAGAACGCGAGCAACAGCACCCGATCGCAAAGGGCCCTGACCTCCGCCTCCTTCGCCCTGACCAACGGCCAGCCCAACGAGATCCGCGTGGTGCTGGTGGCCCGCAGCACGGACGCCCCTGCACTGGCCACCTACGCGGAGCTGGTCGTCGAGCTGGAGGACGAGAACGACAACAGCCCGCAGTTCTCGCAGAGGCAGTTCGTGGCCGCCGTGTCCGAGGGCACCAGCAAAGGAGCCTTCGTGGCCCAGGTGCAGGCCTTCGACGCGGACGAGGGCGCCAACGCCCGGCTGAGGTACCACATCGTGGACGGGAACCACGACAACGCCTTCGTCATCGAGCCCGCCTTCAGCGGCCTCGTCAGGACGAACATCGTGCTCGACCGCGAGATCCGCGACCTCTACAAGCTCAAGATCATCGCCACGGACGAGGGGGTGCCCCAGATGACGGGCACCGCCACCATCCGGGTGCAGATCGTCGACGTGAACGACAACCAGCCCACCTTTCCGCCCAACAACTTCGTCGCCGTCAGCGAAGGTGAGTCAATGAATATTTATTTCAATTTGAAGTTTTGTTTTTATAGAACACTATATAGTACTATTTATTATACTTAATTGTTAGTAGGTATTATTTAATTTTATTACATTTCCTTGAACCCTTTTTGCTTCCCCATATAAAATTACATTTTCTCTTCCCAATTTCCCTCTGTTGTTTTTCCAGCCACTGAGCTCGGAGCCGTCGTAACCTCCATTTCAGCCAACGATGTGGACACCCATCCCGCGCTAACCTACCGCCTCGCCAGCGAGTCCCCCCTGGAATTGGAGAACCTGTCCGTCTTCGCCCTGGATCGGTACAGTGGAAAGCTGGTCCTGAAACGCCGCCTGGACTACGAGCTGCAGCAGGAGTACGAGCTGGAGGTGATTGCCTCGGACGCCGCCCACGAAGCCCGCACCATCCTCTCCGTTCGGGTGAACGACGAGAACGACAACGCGCCGGTGTTCCTGGCCCAACAGCCGCCGGCATACTTCGCCATCCTGCCCGCCCTGCCGGAGATCGGCGAGGGTCTCTCCGCGGAACTGGAGCTCCTCACGGTCAACGCCACCGACGCGGACTCGGAGGGCAGCAACTCCGAGGTCGCGTACTCCATCGATCCAGTGGTCGAGGGCTTCTCGGTGCACCCATCGAGTGGCGTGGTTTCGGTGAACATCAGCAGGCTGCAGCCCGCCGTTTCCCCCAGCGGCGACTACTTCGTGAGCATACTGGCCAGGGATTCGGGCAAGCCGGCGATGAGGAGCTCCACGTTGCTCAGGGTTCAGGCCAGCGAGATCGGCGCAGGGCGCTCGCAGTTCCTGCAGACCCAGTACCGAGCCCAGATCAGCGAGGCAGCTCCGCTGGGAGCGGTCGTCCTGCAACTCGGCCAAGACGTGCTGGAGCAGGCCTTCTCCATCGTCTCCGGGAACGAGGAGGCCGCCTTCGAGCTGCTGCAGTCCAAGGCTATTGTGCTGGTGAAGCCTCTGGATAGGGAAAGGAACGACCTGTACAAACTCCGGCTGGTGCTGAGCCACTCGCACGGGTCGGCCATCTCGGCGATCCCGGCGAGCGCCAACTCGACGGCGGGCATCTCGGTGATCATCACCGTGCTGGACGCCAACGACAACGCCCCCGTCTTCGAGCGGAGCGCCAAGTACGAGGCGGAGATCAGCGAGCTGGCGCCCCTGCGGTTCTCCATCGCCCAGCTGCAGGCGGTCGACGCGGACCAGGAGAACACCCCCAACTCGGAGGTGGTCTACGACATCACCTCCGGCAACGACGAGCACATGTTCACCATCGACCTCGTCACGGGCGTCCTCTTCGTGAACAACCGCCTGGACTACGACTCCGGAGCCAGGAGCTACGAGCTGATCATCCGCGCCTGCGACAGCCATCAGCCACGCCCCCTCTGCTCCCTGCAGCCCTTCCGCCTGGAGCTGCACGACGAGAACGACAACGAGCCGCGCTTCCCGCTCTCCGAGTACGTGCACTTCCTGCCCGAGAACGAGCCCGTCGGCAGCTCCGTGTTCCGGGCCCACGCCAGCGACCTGGACAAGGGGCCCTTCGGCCAGCTCAACTACAGCATCGCCCCCGCCCCCAGCGACGAGGCCTCCTGGAAGCTGTTCCGCGTGGACCCCGACTCCGGGGTGGTCACCTCCGGCGCCGTCTTCGACTTCGAGCAGCGCCAGCGCTACGACCTGCGGCTGGTGGCCTCCGACATGGGCGGCCGCAGGGCCACGGTGGCCGTGCGCGTGGAGATCGAGTCGCGGGACGAGTTCGCGCCGCAGTTCTCGGAGCGCACGTACCGCTTCGTGCTGCCGGCGGCGGTGGCGCTGCCCCAGGGCTTCGTTGTCGGCCAGGTGACGGCCTCCGATGGCGACAGTGGCCCCGACGGCCGCGTGGTCTACCAGCTGAGCGCCCCGCACTCGCACTTCAAGGTGAACCGCACCAGCGGCGCGCTGCTCCTCCGGCGGAAGCTGAAGCTGGACGGCGAGAGGGAGGGGGAGGGGGTCGTGTACGCCGATGGGCGGGACATCAGCCTGGTGGTGTCGGCCTCCTCGGGACGGCACAACTCGCTGACCAGCATGGCGGTGGTCGAGATCGCGCTAGATCCTCTGGCGCATCCGGGCACCAACCTGGCCAGCGCAGGAGGAGGCTCCTCCGGCGGCTCCATGGGCGACTGGGCCATCGGCCTGCTGGTGGCCTTCCTCCTGCTCCTCTGCGCCGCCGCCGGCATCTTCCTGTTCGTCCACATGCGGAGCCGCAAGCCGCGCAACGTGGTCAAGCCGCATCTCAGCTCCGAGACGGTGGGCGTGGGCAACTCCAACAGCTACGTGGACCCCAGCGCCTTCGACACGATCCCCATCCGGGGATCCATCACCGGCGGGGCGGCGGGAGCGGCCTCCGGCCAGTTCGCCCCGCCCAAGTACGACGAGATCCCGCCCTTCGGCCCGCACGCCGGCAGCTCCGGCGCAGCCACCACCTCCGAGCTCTCCGGCTCGGAGCAGTCCGGCTCGAGCGGGCGCGGGTCGGCGGAGGACGACGGGGAGGACGAGGAGATCCGCATGATCAACGAGGGCCCGCTGCACCACCGCAACGGCGGAGGCGGAGTCGGAGGAGGAGGGGGCGTGGGCAGCGACGACGGGCGCATCTCGGACATCTCGGTGCAGAACACGCAGGAGTACCTCGCCCGGCTGGGCATCGTGGACCACGACCCGAGTGGCGCTGGTGGCGGGGGCGGGGCCTCCAGCATGGCCGGCTCCAGCCACCCGATGCACCTGTTCCACGACGACGACGCCGCCACCTCGCGCTCGGACATCACGAACCTCATCTACGCCAAGCTGAACGACGTCACGGGAGCGGGCTCGGAGCGGGGGAGCAGTGCGGACGACGCGGGCACCACGGCGGGCTCCATCGGGACCATTGGCACCATCGGGACCATCGGCACCGTGGGCATCGGCCACGGGCACGGCGTGATGGGCAGCTACGGCGAGGTGCCCGTGCCGGTGCCCGTGGTGGTGGGGGGCAGCAACGTGGGCGGCTCCCTCAGCTCCATCGTGCACAGCGAGGAGGAGCTGACGGGCAGCTACAACTGGGACTACCTGCTGGACTGGGGGCCGCAGTACCAGCCGCTGGCGCACGTCTTCTCGGAGATCGCGCGCCTGAAGGACGACACCCTCTCGGAGCACAGCGGCAGCGGCGGCTCCTCGTCCGCCAAGAGCAAGCACTCCTCCTCGCACTCCTCCGCCGGAGCGGGCAGCGTGGTCCTGAAGCCGCCGGCCCTCGCCCCGCCCTCCCATATCCCGCCCCCGCTGCTCACCAGCGTGGCCCCGCGCGCCATCAACCTGCCGCTGCGGCTGCCGCCCCACCTGAGCCTCGCCCCCGCCCACCTGCCGCGCTCGCCCATCGGGCACGAGGCGAGCGGCAGCTTCAGCACCTCCTCGGCCATGTCGCCCTCCTTCTCGCCCTCGCTCTCGCCGCTGGCCACCCGCTCGCCCTCCATCTCGCCGCTGGGGGCGGGCCCGCCCACGCACCTGCCGCACGTCTCGCTGCCCCGCCACGGCCACGCCCCCCAGCCCAGTCAGCGGGGCAACGTGGGCACGCGGATGTAGGTCGGCGAGGGAGCTAATAGTATTACTGCACCACCCACACGAGCACACTCCACCCACCCATCACGACTGCTGTACATATCACACACACACACGCACACACATTAAGTTAGGATCGCGGTGCAGACGTGGTCATCGGAACGGTTCACTTCCCCCGGAACAGAAGGGAGCACGGATGCACCGCAGTAGGAGTAGCGACCACAAAGCCAACAAAGACTCTCTGAGCTCCCTGGCCTGCCACAAGCCAAAAGCGAGGAGCAGCAGGAGCCGGAACAGCCATACTTGTAAGCATTTAGGGCCTAGACTAGCACCACCACTAGCACTTAGTAGCCTGAGCAACCCGCATAAGTAATAAGTAGCCCGTAACGTAGAAGTAGCGTAGGACCGACCCAACTAGTTTTACGAGCCAAGTGCACTTATTCCATTCCAACTCCACTCCACTCCGAGCTCCGAAATTGTAAAAAGTTGTTTTAGAAAACGTCGGGGAGAACTCTCTCGAAGGCCTTGTATAAATCCGAATCGAAGCGAACGAATCGAAGGGGATCGGAGGAACCTTCAAGTAACATATAGTACATTAAGCAGTTACCAGTTATTCACTAGTTACGTATATTATGTAGACGTATGTATGTACATGCCTAGCCCTAGACTAGACTAGCCCTAGTGTATGTCCACCTGTGTGTGATGCTACTCGAGTAATCCCTACGTTCTAGCAAAGCTGTAAAAATGTTCACCAGTCCGAGGACCTCCAGTTGCTAAGCCTAGTTTGTAATAGCTAAACGAAAGCAAGAGAATAAATATTTAAAGTAAAATAAATGGAAACGAAAGCATAAAAAATGCACTTGCCCCAGTGATTAATCTGCTGTTGGGGGGACCCCACGTGGGTTCGATGAGAGCTCGGTGCCGGTCAATTTTTCTCGCCTTGGGAGTTCCACAAGAAGAAAATCAAGAGTGCCTGCCACGCCCACATATGGGCGGCTGACCAGGGAGAGGACAAGGTATATTTAAATGATAAATATATAAATGTAGTCCGCAGAAGAGGAACTCTGGGAAGAAGGTGGCAAAGTTTTCGGCAAACTCTCGAACCGAGGGATGTGGACTCCCGAATCCGATAGGATGCTGCCTTGGCCTGTTCCCCTACCCGCACCTCTTCCCCCTTCCCTGCCACTTCAACGGCCCAAGGAGATCGGAGGGTCTGCAGCCGAAACAAGCCTCAACAACCGTCCACTTTGTCTTCATTTCAAAGACGTTGCATGAACTCATTTATTTGTTGCTGATTTCTGGCCTGCACCACACCTCCGCCTCGGATCACCACCCCGCCCGCCCCCCTCCCGTCCAGCGCCTCGCCTGTCGTCATTATCATTACCTTCCCCTGCCCCGGACCCCAGACTCGAGTCCCGATCCCGGGACCAGTTGAGTTATTTCCATTTGCCAGTCTTCGACTCGCGCTCGTATCAATTGCAGCAGATCAACAAACCGGAGCTGGAACTGCTGAAATTTGTTTTCCTCCTTTTCCACTTTGCGAGGAGGAGTGCATCGGTTTCGGGTCCTTTTCGGTCCTTCGCTATACTATAAATAATACTTTTTAGGAAGACAGTAGTGTCGAAGGAAATCCGTTCTTTTGTTTCTTGAGTAGATCAAACCAATAAATCAATTTCCCTTTTAGTAGATATTGTTTTTTGGGCACTTAACCGGAACGCTCGCTGCGCAGGAGCGCAATGCTAAGGAGTCCCGAGGAAGAAGGGCATCTAAACGCTCGTGGTTATTATTAGTAGCAGTCAATTCGCATTACAGCGAATACAAATAACGACGAAGCCACCTGGACGCGGATCCGCCGAGAATGGGGGCTAAAAGCGGCCACAATACGACCACGATGATGATGATGATTATGATTATGGGTTGTTGGCGCTGCCTAGGTATTCATTTGGGCTACGCATTTTTCGGGGTGTGTACTCACCAGACAACAACAAGGATGAAAAGTGAAAAGCCTTAATTTGTTGTGGCTCTCCAGCCGGAAAAGGCGAAGGCTCGGGCTAAGCCCAAGTCCTAAGTGCACTGTGGAAAATAACAGAGTGGCTAAGGCCAAAGCCTCCGATCTGTCTTAATGCTAACAGCACACTTGGCCACTTTATTTCTCCCCGTGTGGAGCGGCTGAGCCGAGGAGATGGCGTGGTTTATTTTTAAAGCCATTTGAGTGGCTGGCCAAGTATGTGCACGTAGATCGAACCTTGGCATTGTTCTAGGGCCGGGCATTTTTCACTCGGCCTGTCAAATCGGGACTTCGACAGCTCCGCCACCAAAGTCCAGGGCCCTGCCCACTTTCGTGGTGCACCAGGTGGTGGTGCAAGTGGTGCAAGTCGAGCTGGTGGTGCGAGCAGCGCTGGATGTTCCTCTGATTGCAAAATAAGTGATTTGCGGAATGCGTGTTAAGGCTCAATTCAGTTGGAGATCTCCGCAGGCCACCGCCTCCCCTTCCCCCTTCCCCCTCCCCCTGCGATCTTATGTTGTTATAATTTGTCAATACATCAAGTGCACAATAAAGTGATTACTGCTCACCAAGGGAAAGGAAGGGAAGTTGAGTCAAGGTAAGGGAAGGGATCGAAATGGGAGGCAGGGGGCTAATCCCGCATTCGAAATTCAGAATGAATACAATAATAATTTTATTCCAGCTCGAATGGCCGCACTGATGGGCAAATTAAAGCTGCAGCAGCAGCGGCAGCAGCAACATCAACAGCAAAAGCCAAAGCAACAGCATTGGGAACGAAGAGGAATCGCATCCTCACATCAAGTTGAGCCTTTCCTCGGGTCCGCGGATGACCCTCCTCCTCTCTTCCGCTTGCAGATTTCTCGGAGGCGCGCTTCTGCGGCTTAATAACAATTCCATTAGCGGCTAATGTCTTCATTGCAAGTGTCAGTTTCGGCAGGCAGGGGCGTCCGGCGGAGGGGTGACGCTAAACTGACTGGCCGGGCACTGCCCCAGTCGCCGCCGCCATTCCCGATCAAATCCGCTGGACTTAAGGTCCGTCATCGGGGCTAAACTCAGCGACTGACCACGGCTCACTGCGAGAAACAGGGGGTTAGTCTGCGAAATTACTCAGTTGCCGTGGAAGTGACTTCAGGGGAGTCGCAATACCCCTTTCCGTATTCATTGGCATTGTCTGACCAGAATAGCTATTTTTACATATGCGAACTGTTTCTCTAAGTGTGGAATTATGGCTGCCTCGGCGACCAGGATGCATCCCGGCACCTCCCATCCCCTCCTCGTGGTCCTCCTCTCATCTCGACTGCCTCTCATCTCGCATGTCAGTTTAACACTTTTGAATCCTTTGAAGTCCCAGTCCGACTGCGTTTTATTGTCCGAAGTTATGGCAACGGCAATGGCTGCACTAATAAGCTCGTTCCCAGTTCAGCTCCCCCTCCTCCTCCTCCGCCCTCCTTGTCCATCCCGAAGACCCATTCCCGTTCCCACTGCCAATCCCATTGCCATTGCCATTCCGATTGCGATTGCAGTGCCGGATCATTGGCATTAGCATTCGCAAGTGGCCAACAAATGCGAAAATAATTGCTGCCACGAAATAAAAGCGGGACTGGGTTGCCGGGGCAGGGATTGCCGGCGGTTGCTGGCCATTGCTAATTGCCGCCTTGATTGGAAATGCTTGGGGGTGAAGGGGTGGTGAGCAATCGCAGTAAACTGATTTGGCAAACGACGGATCGGATCGGATGCCTCCTGCCGTCTCTTCCCCGGCAAGATCCCAGCTGGCCGTTTCCGGTTCCGTTCGGCGTGGGAGTGGGATTGGGACCGGGACTGGAGACCCGAGTGAGGGGTCACGCAGACCGGGGACGAGCTGCATCAAAGGTTCGCCTGCCGACAGACCCGAAAAGAGGAGAAACAGACACCGAACGTAACCCAATACGTTTGAGGACTGCACTGGCGCCGACACAAAATCAAATACCCGAAAACAATGGAAAAGCACGGGGCCGTCCGTCCAGTCGCAGCCGAGGAGCTTGTATTTCCTCGCTGATCCACTAGGCCAGGATTCCATCCCGGAATCCATTAGAGACGGACAAGCAACGCCGCATAATGGAACAAGCGCATTCGCGGCCATAATGGCAATAGAACTGGCAATCGCCAGCCGAACATCCATCGCCAGCCTCCATCCATCCATCCATCCACTCAAAGACCCAATCCAATCGCAGTGCCGCAACAAAGGTAGCCATTAAAATTTAATAATAGTTGTTCTTTTTCAGCTGCTTTTGATGGATGCACTGGGCAAAACGATTCGCTCGAGAGGCGACAATAAGGTTTATGATAACCGAATACTAAGCTATACTGGAATGAGTTTTGCTCAGTGTGCTGCGGGAATCGCGAAGGAGCAGCATCTGCTACTGTGGCCAAACAATTTGGACACACACCGGCGCAGCGATGATAGAATCTCATAATGCAACTGCGGATCGAGGATCGGGAAGCGGGAAGCGGGGATCGGGGATCGGGGAATAGAGGGCCTTTGAAAGGCGGAGGAAGGTGGCAGACGGACGTCAAAGCCAAACAAGAACAATCTATCCAAATGTCCATCTGCTGAGCAGATAAAGCTGCATCCATCTCATCCGCATCTGCGCCTTCTTCACCGCACCGCCCCGCCCACCGCTTTCCCCACCCTCTCTCTTCGGTTTTCCACACTTTTCCCGCCCCTCTGTCTCTTCTCTGCTTCTCTGGAGGTTTGTGTGAGCTTACACTTTGCGCCGACTACAAACGGCGGCTGATGAAGATTAGCCCGTCTCCTATCCGCTGGCCCCTGAAATGCCACCCCGCAACCCCGCCGTCCTCGGCAGCCCCTGTCGATGCCTTTGACATTGATGTGCCACCAACAGCAGCGGCAGCAGCAGCAGCAGCAACATCAGCAACATTGCAACTGCGACAGCAACACTGCAACAGCGCAACCGCAGCAGCAGCATTGCGGCCAGCGAGCCATTTCTGCTGCTATTGTTTTGTCGCGTGCATTTGGGTTTTCGGCCCGGAATCTCGGAATCGGCAGCCAATGCTTGGGTATCGTTTTTGGATTTAAATTGTTGGCTTGTGTCCTTTTAGCATCAGGAGAGATTTGCATTTTATCGCATTCGCTCGCCGGCGGATGTCGTCTGCTCGTTTGTTGTCTCTCTTAGAGATTCGCTGACGGCCGAAGACAGTTCCTCAAGCCTCCGCCGCTTTCCGATTTTGCGATTTTCCAGGCCAGGAGGGGGTGGGCTCAGTTAGCTTCATTTTCGGCCAGGCCGAAAATGTCAGGTAATTGAAATATTCGTGCCGTCGTCAATGTCAGCTTGAGACCCCCTTCCGACTCCGATTCCGATCCCGACTCCGTGAGCCTATTTCTCGCGGTGCATGATCCGCCTGATCCCCCGGACTTCTGGCCGAGATCCCAGTGATCTCATTGCGCGGACACATAAGCGACTCGCTTAGGCCCACAATCGAATGTGTTAATGTGCCAAAATCAAAGGGGGCAGCGCTATTGCTGGTGCACTGCAGCAGCTGCGGCAACTGCGGCAACTGCGGCTCGAGAGAGCGGCGAACAAGTAGCCCAAGGAGCGCTACCCGCTGTGCCACAGAGTTAAGCAGAATCAATTTATAAATCAGCGCGCTGGCGGCTTCAAAGGTCAGCGATAACAACAACAGCCAGTCGAGGGGATTGGCCGCAGCGGCTTCTTGTCCCGCGATGAGCAATTTATTGTGTCAAACTCAATTATACTCGTGTGATATTTTTGTTGCCCACCAAACGAAATGAAACCAGCAGAAGTGCCCCGAGCCCAGGCACACATGGCTTGGGGCCGGCACACACACACACACTC